TGCACACGAATGCCCCCGCGGGCGCCATGGCACCTGTGGGCACCGTGTTGGGGACTATGGCTCTAGGTAGTAGGCCACATTTGCCTTCCGTAGCTACTGTGGCAAAATGAAGAAGCTGGGATAATAAATGAATTTTGTGGTGTGTCCTGGCACTAATTAAACCTAGATACTAATGGACCAGGAGCATCAGGCTTTGACAGGCTCTCTGTGCCACTGGTGGATCCCCAAATCTTCTACTTCTACCACTGGATTGACTCAGGCTCTAGGTAGTAGGCCACATTTGCCTTCCGTAGCTACTGTGGCAAAATGAAGAAGCTGGGATAATAAATGAATTTTGTGGTGTGTCCTGGCACTAATTAAACCTAGATACTAATGGACCAGGAGCATCAGGCTTTGACAGGCTCTCTGTGCCACTGGTGGATCCCCAAATCTTCTACTTCTACCACTGGATTGACTCAGCCCCGGTGTCACAGCCCAAAGAGAATGCTCTTTCCTGATTAGTTGTGGCTAAATTAGCTCACATCATATTATATGTATAGTTGGGGTTATTTTTTCCAATGTGCATTACTTTACATTTATCCACATTAAATTTCATTTGCCTTTTTGTTGCCCAGTCACTTTGTCTGGTGAGATCTTTTCAAAGTTCTTCACAGTCTGCTTTGGTCTTAACTACCTTGAGCTGTTTAGTATCACCTGCAAACTTTACCACCTCACTGTTTACTCCTTTCTCCAGATCATTTATGAATAAATTGAATAGGATTGGTCCTAGGACTGACCCTTGGGGAACACCACTAGTTACCCCTCTCCATTCTGAAAACTTACCATTTATTCTTCCAGCCTTTTCTTCCTTCTGGGTATGTCTACACTACCTCCTAATTTGAACTAGGAGGGTAATGTAGGCATACCGCACTTGCAAATGAAGCCCGGGATTTGAATTTCTGGGGCTTCATTTGCATGAAGCCGGCTGGCGCCATTTTTAAATGCCGGCAGTTCGAACCCCGTGCCGCGCGGCTACACGCGGCACG